GCCCAACTTGCTCCGCACCAATTTCAGGACAAACAAGAGATTGCTCTTTCACCTGCCTTTGATTTCCCGAAGATGCTGCCAGTGGAAGCAGGCTTTGAGATTATTTTTTTTCTCTCTAAATGGGAAGGGTGGGGCCTCCTTCTGGCTACACATAAAATTCTTCAAAGCAGAAAGTATTATATCAGATGCAGCAGCAGAACAAATCCCATGTGATCAGAAAGCTGATCAACGGGATGCCTGCTTAATTGGGATGCTTGCCAGAGACCAGATTTGGAACAGCGTGCTTAATAGCTCCAAACAATAGCTGAATGCTTAGACGTTTTAAAGTGCATTTTCACCAGAAAAGCTACCGTGTGGGGAAAAACCAAACCAAAACAGCCCAGCACTTGACATAGCAGCTTTTCACCACGCTTCCTGAAATGGCATTGAATGGGTCTGTCTGTGAGCTTGCATCTAAACATTCACCACCAGACCTTGCACCACCGCTTTTGAACCAAGAGCCAGGACCCTGATGATGGCTGTTTAATGAAGGTGCTGCTGGGAGCAGATCTGTGTCCCAGGTGGGCTGCCTGCTGCACGCTGCTCACAGAAGTCTACTAGGTGTGAATTAGCAGTTGCTAGCCTGAGCTTATTTCTCTGAAGTCTCTGGGTGCTCTCTGATGTTGCTGCTAACCACCCGTCTGTGCAAAGCTGAGAATCCTGTGAACGTTTGGTGCCCATGATGCAGTTTTACAGAGACTGCTTCCTACAGCACTTTAAAACAAGTCAGTCAAGGACACGGAGCAGAGTATTTGCTCAGCATGGTGTATTTGTCTGGAGAGACCTTGGGAAGACCACATAGGTGCCAAGTAGGAAGACTGCTAGTGAAGCTTTGACTTTCGAAAGTCCACGTTCACCTTGACTGCTGGCTTTGGTTGAGCTGTGCTGGAAGCTCTCTGGACTAGTTTTGTGCCTTTGTTGGACTGCATAAACATCAGGTTGGAAGTAGATAGAGATGGGCTCTGGCATCAATGTGGAGAGCCGTTTTGGTTAACGCTGTGTCTGGTTTCTCTGGTCACTTTGAGCCGTATGTGCACTGAAGCAAGGCCACCCAAAAAGCGCTGCACCCTGGACCTGATCCCTACCCTCTCTATTCTGCTTTATCCCTTTGCAGCAGTGCGAGACAGACTTTGGAAGCTGGCCGTGGAGGTGCTTCAGCTCTGGCTCTGACCTGAGCCGATGGAGCAGGGCCGTGGCTTGCATGATGCTGCCCTGTTACCTGCGTCTGCACAGGCAGTTGGATAGAGCATGGCAGCGTTGACATGCCTGTCTCCAGTCGTGCCCTGCTGCTGCACTGGGAAGTGGTTTTCCCTCTCTGAGCTCTCTTTGTTTTCAAGCTCTTCATCTTTTCCTCCTGTCAAGCTCTTTGTCGCCAGGACTGTCTTAACAGCTTTGAGTCACCCAAGCCCCTGAAGACAGAAAACCCAGACTTTAACCCAGCCCTGTGTCCCATCCTGGCGCGGCGGGACGCTGCTGTTGCCCCTTGGTGCTGATGATGGGATTAAAGCACACAGTTGGTAACTCACTTGGCCAGTGATGCTTGGAATAAGTGCTGGAGCAGATTTCAGCAGGTCTTTTGGGCAAGCATTTGTTCCATGCAGCCTAAACCTGATCTGCACCTCATCCTTCAGTCAAAGACACACTAGGGATGAATAAACACACGTACCCTGGCCCACCTGGGAGCTGGTGTCTGTCAAGAGACAGTGCTGTGGGGCATTAATGCCTGACTTTCACACTACAGCAGCCCACAAATGAGAGATCCCTTGAGCTGGGAGCATGTCTTTGTGGTCATATTGGAGAAACTAGCATCTGTGGCAATAGGTAGCTGGATGCTTTGGCTGGTTGGATTCAGCCCAGCATGCTCAGCTTTCGCCTTAGAGGGGTGGTTTTACATGCAGTTCCACTGGAGAGGAACAAGGTTTTTTGCTTTTTCTGAACAACTTCAATCGTGTTTCCAATATCAGGGTCTTTGGCCTTGTCAGTACGAGATCTTTATCTAATGTTTCTCTCACTAGGCTGTAATAAAAGCTGCTGCTGTTTTTTGTGTGCTTTCCATGTGTAGCTACTTAGCAGCAACCTGTCTCCCCTCCTTCAGGCCATCAACACCTCTGTATTTATACTGGGTCTCTCATTTTCAGGCTTTCCCTTTTTAGGGTCTGAGGTAACTCAAAATCAACACTTCCCGGCTGAGACAGGGCTTGTGTTCGACGAAACACCAGCCGCCTCTCTGCCTTCCTCTTCACACCCACTCTATGTTTCTTCCACAGCTTTAGCATGATTTCTGCTAGGCAAATTGAATGCAACTTCTAGTTTGTTAACAAAATCAGCTGTTCCAGGTTCTGTCACTGGTGGTGGTGACACATGCCCCTCCCTGGGACAGGCCTTTGCTCACACCTTCAACCCAGCTGCTTCTGTGCTCCAGGTCTGTGAGGAGCTCGGAGCTGTCGGAGTCCTTGGCAGCCCTCCCCCCACGATGTGTTCTCACAACAGCCATTCCAGCTTTGGGGGGTTTACATTTTTTATTCTTACAAGCATTTTAATACTCAGTAAACCAGTCCCGTGAGCTCTTGCTAGTCTGAACCCCTCTGCCCCTGCACTGTGACTTGTTCCCCCCTGCTCAGGAGTGACTGGTAGTGTCTGTATGTGCTATGGTTAATAAAAGGTAGTTTGCAAGGAAACCTGCCCCGTAGTTCCTGAATTTCCAAGAGCTTTAAGGGAGGTATGTGTTGATACTTTCAATCTGGCTGTTTTGCCCTAGAGCATACCAGCAACTAAGTTGAGACTTTTTTTTAGTGTACAGTCACAATATTGATCTGTCAGGCCTCCTGGCTGGGTGCAATCACAGGAGGTGGATGGGAGGCATGCTGAGGAGAACAGTGCTGTTTGGAGTTAAAATTGGGTTCTGGCTGCAAGGAAGAAACTCGCTGAAATTCCCTCAGGACAGGCCTGGCGCAGGGGACCTGCACAGATGTAAAAGGAGGAGACATTTGGCTGGCAGCATCTTCATTACTGGTACTGATGCGTGAGCCAGGCTGGATTTCCCAATCCAAGACAGGCAGTCAGGGCTGGCAGCGAGCACAGCCCATCTTTTCCCCTCATCAGCCACAATAAATACAAAGCTCCGTGATGCCAGCTTACAGGGGAGCCATCTTCAGTGTGCTTAGCATACTTCAGACCCCCAGTGCTTCTTGGTTTAACGTGTTGAGCGAGGCCTCTGCCTTCTCTGGCTGTGCGTCTGCTGCCACTGCCTTCAGCTGCCGAGTGTCAGTCCCGGGCCCACGGGCAGGGTGCGGAGCAGAGCTGTCGCTTGGAGTCAGCACACGGTTCTTTGAAGGGGTTGTGAAACCCTGGGAACGCGGCAGCAGATGCCAGGGCACGGAAATGGGTGAAGAACCAGCGGCAGCAATAAAATCCATCCTGGTCCTGCGTGCGCCCCTCTGCAGGTCTCCAGGATCACAGGTAGATCGCAGAATCATGGAATAGTTTGGGTTGGAAGGGAAGGGATCCTCAGTTGCTCTTCGTGGACATTTTTGTTCACTCTCTTCAGCCTGGCTTCAGATCCCTTAGCCCTTGACAGTTGTTCCCAGTGAGGAGAGGGGCTGCTCTTGAGGAAACAGCCTTGGAGATAGGGGACTGTGTTCCAGGGAACAGGATCTGCTTCCCAGTTTGTAGTGACTTTAGTGGAAGGGCTGGTATATCACCTCTTTGTGAGTGTTTTGCACCTCTTCCTGCCAGTTTCTGATTAATTCATTGTGAGGCACTGCAAGCCCTCAGCCTTCCTCCTTTGCTGCACGAACGCCCTGAGCCCAGGCAGGAGAAGCTTGCCTTAAAGGATTTCCTGAAATTTTGGAGCACTGTCTGTGCCACTCCTGCTCTGTCAGGATACCCAGGACTCCTGTTGTACTGGGTGCTGGAAACACATAGGGTAGGTTTGCTCACACATTTGTGCAAGCCCCATGTGCTGCAAGGCTTGGGCTACTATGGGTACACAACACAAGTGCTGACAACACATCTTGGGCCCCTGCAGAACCCTGTGCAGGCTGGCCGGGCTGAAGAAACTCCTTCAAATGGCATTTACAGTGCGAATGGCAGCAGAAGTTCAGCAGATACTAGTGGTGCTTGCACAAAAGAAAACAGCCTAATGGGATGCTGCCTTCTCACTAAAGTGTTCAGGGAGTCGCAGCATTTGAAGAACCTTAAAGAGCTTTTCCAGCAGCAAAAGGTGTAAAATGTCTGGGAGCCACAGAGAATTGAAAGAGAGAAGAAGGTATTCACTAAAGGGCCGTGGATCTCTGGGTTTAGTGGTTAAAGTTGGCCATCAGCTGAAGCGGGCTTGACTTAGACTCAAAAGAAGGAAAATTGAAAATCCCTCCCAGAGAGGATTATTTGGTTCTGCTACGCTTAAAGCACCCAGTGCTGCTGATTCAGGAGGCCACGTCTCCTTGTGGAGGAGAAAGTGGGACGTATGCTGGCAGTGACCTGTCGTCCCCTTTCCCATCAGCTCAGGAGCTGCTTGCTGTCATTCTGACCTTAGGAAAGGGGCATTATTAAGCTAAGTACAGGTTAGGACAGCATGGCAGGTGTTACTGTGGGCTAGCTTCATCTAGATCTCAACAAGCAGAGTGTTTCCTAGCTCATGAAAGTAGCGGGATGAAGATGCTGTGGAGAATTACACTGTCCATGTGTGATTTCTTTTAGAAACCCACAGGACTAGGGGTACAAAACCAAAAGCAAGGAGGGGATGATGTGTGTGGCCAGACACCCCAAACCAGTTTGTAAACACGCTTCCGTTTATAGTCGAGTAGAGGCTCTAGCTGCCGAGAACAGCATCGCGTATGCCAGCGGATGTGAGCAGCTTTAACCCAGAGTGCACAGTGGGGCAGGTGACGTAGGGAAAATGAAAGTAGTTGCAAGTCACAGGCTCCTTTGCCTGCCTGAGCTACACCAGCCATGATAACACTGTGTTCAGTGCAGGCTGGTAGCGAATTCAGCCGTGTAGCTAATGGAGTTACGTGCTTCCAGGTCCTGTAGCTGCAGCTTACCTTGGGGTCTCTGTACAGCATTGTGGTGTAGACATACAGAAGCCGAACCATTTATTTGGGAATGAGAAGTCTGTTTAATTTGGACCTGCCCTAATTGCTGGCATGAAATCCTTAATTGTGTCATTAAACTATAAAGATCATCAATATGCTTTGATCTGGCAAATGAGGATGCCTTGTGTTCAGGATGAGTCACAAATCTGTGAGAACGAATGGATCGCAAGAAAATGGCGATAAATGAACAGATTGGAGAGCACAGCATTTTGATGTTGCTAATCAAATTGCCTCAAAGGATTGAAGTGCTTCAAGGCTTTGATGGGTAATCCAAGACAGAGCTTTTTAACTAATACTTTGTTTTTCCTCTTTCTATTCACAGACGACGTTTCCTGTGACTCCATCACTTGCAACAAGCCCCACGATGGCTTTTAGTCCCTACCTGAGTCATGTTTCTCCTGGGATGGGCTTGGTTCCCGCAGAGCTTTTACCAAATACTCCTGTTCTGGTATCCGGAAATCCTACTGTTACAGTACCAGGAGGCTCTGCTGGGCAGAAACTAATGCGTACGGATAAACTGGAGGTATTTGGATGTCTGATACAATACTGCTGATGGGAATGAACAGGGCTTGTGGGCCCAGTTGCTGCTCTCTGTTAGACTGACCTGATGCAGCACAGCGCAGAGTTTAACTGGCAGCTTTCCTAACACAGGGATGCTGCTGCTCTTTGCTTGAGCAGGCTCCCAAGCAGGGCCTGATCCCAAATCCTTGGAAGGCACTGGAAATTTGAAAGCACTCACTCTTCTCATTTCAGTGGGCGTTAGAGCAGGACTAGGATTGTTGTTTTCTGTGTGTGATGTGCTGCACTTAAAAAACGCAAGTGGATGGTCTGCCGTTTCACTGAACTGAGTGGGAGATGTTTTGGAAGTAACAGACCCTTCCCTTGTCTTGAGATGGGCTTATTTAGCTTTTACAGAAAGCTTTAAGCATTACGCTGGTGGGAGTGCTGGGTACAGAGCACTGGAAAGGTGTCTCCTCCCCCCTCCCAGCTGGCTGGGCATGCTGGGACTTAGCGTTGGAGGAGTTGTAAATGTCTTTCAAACCCTAAGCAGAGGCTCTGCAGGAGATAAGGGCTGAGGACCTGAATTCAGAGGCCCCTGCAGGTGTAAATTATAACACAGGAAGGTAGTGGAGAAGGGTGTAATTTCAAAACACACTGTTTTGTGTTACATACTTTATATTGCCCTGTTGATTGCTTCCGTTCTCACATGATGTCTCGTCTTTCTCCACCACTCAGTCGGATAGTGCACGGGTACGTGATTTACACCACCAGCTATAGTCCTCACCAATTTCGTTTAGTTCCTCAGACAAGGCAACCTTGCAGATCCCTTTTGGGAAACCTTATTCTCTGCCTTTGATGCCTCAGTGCTCATAGCTTATGAGGATCTGCAAGATCTTCATAAAGCTAGCCCTTCTGATAACACCTTACGAACACGTTGCAGTGTAAACAAATGAACTATCAAGGCAGGGTTTTATTGTGGAGAGCAGTGAGACTGTTTATATGAAAGAGGCTCCTCATATTTAAGAAAAGGTACTTGTTGCAAATAACAGCAGCCTGCAACGTTCAGAATTAAATGTCCTGCCCGAGATGCTGCTCCATAACACGTACGTGATCCAGCTGAGACACAAATGGCAGAGTTATTAACATTTAAGCTTAGAGGCAGGGGAGGAATCCTGAGCTTCAAAAGTTTTGGTAAAATGACGTTATCTGGGGTCACTTTCCATTCTGCACAAATTCTGTCCTCCACTTGCATTTGGTAATTGATCTTAGTAACATTGTGGGTGTTTTCATACCTTGAACTGGTTGTGAGCAGCACGGGTTGCCCCTGTGAGTGTTGGTATATGTGCTGCCCAAGACGAGCATGGGTTTAGAACACACACGTAGTTTAATGTGCCCCAACTGAACGGATACTCTGTGTTGAAAATACTGAATGAAGAGTAACTTGATGTTCTGCTCAACATTGTGCCTTTCTTTCAAGGTTTGTCGAGAGTTTCAGCGTGGAAATTGCACACGTGGTGAGAATGATTGCCGCTATGCTCACCCTATAGATATTGCAATGATAGACACAAATGAAAATACTGTTACAGTTTGCATGGATTACATCAAAGGTCGATGCTCTAGGGAGAAATGCAAGTACTTTCATCCCCCTGCACACCTGCAAGCCAAAATCAAGGCAGCTCAACACCAGGTGAACCAGACAGCTGCAGCTGCGATGGTAAGTAGAGCTCTTACCAGGCCGTATTTCCACTGCTAAGAGACCTCATTCGTGGCACGTGTGTGGTTTATGGAAAAGCAGAGTGCATTGTAAATGGCTGATGAGAGAGCTGAGAGCATGTGCAGTATGGATCCCATCTCTTCCTCCGTTCTGTGTGCTCACCGTAGCAGTTAGCCCCAGGTGGCACAGTCCGTCTCGCCAGCTAGGGACACGGTGCTGCACCCTGCTGTTTTCTGACATGACGTCATGAGGGGACATGAACAGCACCTTCCCTGGCAAGCCCTTGGTGTCAGTTGAGCTTCGTCAATACACAATGACAGCAAAGACTGCCCATCCCATAATACACCATTTGCAGGGAGATCCTGGCCTGTTGAAGTCAGTAGGAGAATTTCCACTGACTCAAAGCAGACAAGATACCGGTTGTTCAGGCTTAGCAGACTTTCGCCCGGTACCTTTGACAAGGCTCAGTGAAATGGCAAGGCCCAAACCAAGGGTGACTTCCTGACCTGTTTGATGCTTTGGACCTGGCATAGATGGCCCCACCTGCATTTTATTTGGAATTGTGACTTTGAATACCTACAATTCTAAAAACCAGGCGAGGAAGACTTACCAAGTCAAATTCCTAGCTGGAGCAGATGCTTGCCATTCAGTTTATGGCACCTGTTTATTCTGGAGATTAGAGAGCTGGAATATTCAGACTGGGGAGGGCAGAAGAGGATCAGGCGGGTCTTACCTCTGTGTATAAATTCCTAGAGGGGGAAGTAAAGAAGACAAGAGGGAGACTCTCCTCTGTGGTGCCTAGTGAAAGGGTAAGAGGTAATGGGCACAAAATGAAATACAGGAAATTCCATTTAAATGTCAGAAAAAAACTTACTTTAGCATGAGTGGGGTCAAACACTGCAGCGGGTTGCTCCATCCTTGGAGATACTCAGAAACTTCCTGGATGCGGTCCTGAGCATGCTGCTTTAGCTGACCCTGCTTTGAGCCAGGTGTTGGACTACATGATCTCCAGGAGTCCCTTCCAACATCATCCAATCTGTGATTATTTTTTTTTTAAATAACTAATATTAAAAGGGTTATTGCCAACATTTTTTTATTTACAAGTAAGGGTATTAGTATTTTTCTAAATACCTTTTTAAAGACAGTAAAGGAGTTTGCGTTTCATTCGTGGTGAAATGGAATGCAAAACCAGAAGATTCTAGACATTAAACAGCTGCCCTCCTTGTAGCATCAGTATTACCTGGAATCTGATTTGAAGAACCAGTTTATACTGCAATATTTATTTGTCCTGCAGAGTTTATTTTTTACTGTTTTTATTATTGTTGAAAGAACAGCCCAAGTCTGTTGAAAAAAACCTTCTGAAATGAAACTCTTGTGTTTTTTACGATTGAATCTTTACTTTTTCACTAATTATCTAGGACACTACTTAACCAAAGCCAGTGCATGTTTTATTCATGCTTCTGGCTTCTCTTAAAAATGTGATTAACCTTATTTGTATGCCATTAACTAGAATCTTTAAAATATTTATTGATGGCTTGTTGCATCACCCCTGCTACCAAAACACCTTACATTATTTATTGACTTTTTCAAGGTTTGATGCATTTGCTGTACTTGTTGAGAAATAAGACTTTACTAAAGGGAATAATGGTTCCCAGTGTTCTTGGATCAAAAAACATATGCCAGACAAATGGGTGTACCTTCTAAAATAGATTTGGAATTACTTCAAATCTAAATTCAGAAGATATTTCTGAGGGACCCAATCCTGCAGTGACTTGACATGCACAAGTAGTAGCTTTACTCCTGCTTGGCTGAAGCCTGTGCAGCACAGTCGGATGAACTGGGTCAGGCTCAGTCCCCAGTTCAGGATGGCACTTAAGCACGTGCATGAACCTCCCTTCCTTACCGGCGGTCCTTCCCCTGCCAAGAGCGCTCCTGCTGACCTCTGCATGGCGTGTAGCTGCAGCGCTGGGGCTGACGCTTGCAGGTGCTAATGCCTGAGCTCTCCTGACCCGCCGTGCCAGCCGCAGTGAAGATGCTCTAAAGCACATGTCCCATGATGACATCTCTTTACTTTTAAAACTTAGCGAGGCAAAACAGCTGACTAGGCGCTAGGCCAGGTAATTCCTCAGCCACCCCATGTTGTGCATGCCTCGTCTTTTTAATATATTGTATAATGCATTCTTTTTTTTGTTGTTTTTTTGTTTTTTTTTCTCTTCACCTCCCCAAAATGTTGCTCTCTCTTGACACACTTCTGCTTGCTGGTTTTGTTACTGTGCTTGACCCCCCTTCCCCGGCCCATTGCCATCATGTGCTCGCTGCCTGCTAATTAAGACTCAGCCAGCTGTCAGATCACTGAAGCGACCGCTCGAGGCAACCTTTGACCTGGTACTTGGACCTTTCACCTTCTCGCTTTGCACGTAACCATCTTAGTCTGCATGAAAGCTTTCTGCACGTGTGTTAGTGCCTGGGGAGACTGTCCATCCTGGCCAGAAATGTTGCAGTGTGCGTTCAGACATGCCAATCCTGTGCCCCACATGCCATCCATTAACTGATCTTTGCCTCCTGGAGCCTGGATGTGTTTTGGAGGCAGTGAATAATCTTGGCAGGAGGCAGCTCTGGGTTTTGAAGTCTCTTTCCAAACAGCAGCAGCTTTGGAGTCATGAGATGCAATGTTTCGGTGAGAATTTAACTTGTTAGGTCTGCAGTCTGCAGGATATGCCAGGGGACTGGGTGGTGCAGGAGATATCCAGCCACTTTCCCTGGTATGCCCCACAGTGCAGCCTTGCCTGGCAGTGTCGTGCTTATACTGCCCTGCAGAAGGGAGTTCTGTGCAGTGGGCACAACTCAAGTTTAGGAGGGAGAGAGCTAAGAATCCCACTCAGATTTGTGCTGGGAACTGAAGCAGATGCATTGCAGGACTTTGGTCATGGGTTCTGTAAACTGAGGAGTTGACTGCCTCTGGTTCCTCCCCCCATACCCCAGTGGGTCAGTGTCAGAGAAGGGACCTTGCTCTGGGTGCCTTTTGCTTCAGTGTCAGGAACAGGATCTGCTCCCTAGGCTTCCATCTGCAAGCTGTCTTCCTAGAAGCTACCTTAAATTATTTTCTGAGTCTCAAATATGTTTTACCTTTTTTTGTGACACTCACAGCGAGGCAGAAGCCATCCTCCCAGTCTGCTGTCAATCCTGGCTCCATAGAGGACAACTCCTACTTGTTCAACCTAAATAATGAGCGATCCAGTACATCCTAAAAAAAAAAAACAGCTGTAGGAGGGAAAGGAAAGTATGGTCATTGAAACCTTGCAGCTGGGGTTGCTTCTCATTTCCAGAGCTAAGCTGCAGAGGCTGATCTGCTCCCCCTCCCTGCTGAAGACTTGGTTTTGGGGTTTTTTTAAGTAGTCAAGAGGCTTCCTTATCAGAGTTTTCGGCAGCAGCAGTAGGAAACCTTGTTAGGGACCAGCTTCTACCAGCATCACACTGTAAATGACCCAACAGCCTCTCACTCCTGCTGCTCACGGCTGACACAGACACAGCCCCAAAGCCTGCACAGGCAGTGCTGCACGGTGCCTTGCTGGCCATTCCAAGAGCCACCGCTCTGAGGAGACAGGGTCTGGCAGGGAGTGGGAAAGCCCTTTAACTCCTCTACCCTCCTGACCTCCCCCACTCAACAAAAACCCATCAGATAAGTTGCTTTTGATAGTCTGAAACATCTGAAGGTTTGCAGCCGCATTGTTGGAATATGTCAGCTCCTCTGAACCCTTCAGGAAGCTGCACCAGAGAAGGATTCACAGTGGTGATGAGAGCATGTATAATAGTGAGAGGAGACGGCTCAGATTGCTTCTACTGTTTGCCAGGAATGGATGCTGCCTCTGCCCTCTCTCATTTTGTATTTGTCGTGCCTTGGACTGAAGCAGCAAGCGAGATGCAGAGCCAGCCCCTCTTTCCTAAGTGCAGAGGGCTGACAGTGTCATCTGCTCCCAGGAGACAGCCATCTGAGGGCAACTTTGAGGTGCAATTAAATTGTTTGTTGCACAGATTTAATCCAGTTCTCGTCTTGCAAAAAATAACCAGAGAGGCTTGTTAACCAGCACGTGGGAAATTTTGACGTTGGCACACAGGGTGTTTTTATCTGTCAGTCATGCTGAAGGATTGCTCTCCATGCCATGCAGAGAAGTGGCACAAACCTCTTTGTTCAGATGCTCGTGTTCCAGCAGGAACGTGGCTTTCCCGGCCCAAAAATGGGAGGCTGCCTGGCATTTTTGTAGTGGGAATTGTTCATTGGGATCAGTGCGGTCTGTCACATGGATACTGAAGGAGTGCACGTAAACACACAGGCAAAGTCGGAAAAAGGTACTGTCAAAGGCTGCTGCTACATCTGTGATGGTCAGAGCTTGTCCGGAGGGAAGTCACATGCAGCAGCATGAGCCCTGCAGGGGAGGCACTTGCTGAGTATTTCCATAGGGTCAGAATTAGTGAGGAGTCTCCTGTTGTAGGTGCTGCAGGGCATGCTTGGGGGATTCCTTCAGAACCAGGACAGGGTGCAAGACAGAAATGTTGTATCCCCATGAGCTGTTACAATGCCTGCAGGTCCTGAGACCGACACAAAAATTTTGGCCGGTTTCACAAGAGACACCCTTGTTTGCTGCTGTGTCCCTGCCAGGTCCCTGTGCAGGAGCTGTATTGGCCCAGTGTCATCACGTGCAATTTTAGACACCTCTCCCAGGCGTTTGTAGATAGACCTTTCAGTGAGTGTGCTCCTGGCTTGGGGCTCTTACCTCAACACAAGGGCTGGAGAGGTGGTGAGGCTAGATCCTTCTGTCCCCCTGCCCTCCTGCACCTTAACACCTCAACAAGAGAGGTTGGCAACAGGAGGAGCACGTCTCCATGCTCTGTACAGATGCTCCTTCAGCTGCTGGGATGGGAGAGGTGACGCAGAAGGCTGTGTCAAGCCAGAAGCAGACCGAGACGGGCTCCTGTGCCCAGAGAGCCCACACGGCAGAACGGACCTTCAGGCTGCACAGCAGCTGCTGCAGGGTGCTTGTTTCTTCAGAAGACTCTGGAAATGTTGCATTTATTTAGGTTTCTCCATCAGCTGCTGTTCAGGCCTTTCCCAAAGGTGCTGTTCAGGGAGCAGTAGTGGGACTACGTAGCTCCTTTCTCTTCCTTGTGTCCAGGGGGCTGCAGCAGGGTGGAAAGAAGCATGAAGTTAGAGAGACAGCATCCCTATGGCCTGTTGGTGTTTGTACGCTCCCTCTGACTGCAGCACTGGGCTCAGGAATTGTCCCCCGTGTAAAGAGCCAGGGCATCATGGTGAGGTCTCAAAGCCTTGAGCTCTGCAGCTTTTGGCACTGCCATTATGGGATAATGGGCTTTTTGGGGTGGTGACAGCCTTTGGCCAAGGAGCAAGGAGTCACAAGTCCATTATGTGCCTGGCACAGTTGCTTTGCTATAATTAGGGTTTTTTTTTTTTTCTGAGGCTGATTTTGGAAGTGTCTGAAAAAGAATATTTTGCAGTCAGGCACAGTAAGGAGCATGAATGTAAGTGGCAAGTTCTTCAGTCCCTGTAAATCTACAAAACGCCTCTGATGTAAGTGGAGCTACTCTGGTCTCTTCAAGCTGCAGGTCTGCCCCCTGCCTGGAGGAACATTCATGTAGCTGTCATTAAATAAACAAGATGTAGATCCAGGCAGATTTAACATAGATACCAATGAGGGCTCCCCTAGAAATGGAAACTCTTAGATCTTTACCTAAAAGACCTCATCCTAAAATACGGGTCTTAAGCAAAAGATTTTGGTGTCTCTGTCCGAGAACATTGTCCCATGTTTGACTGCTCTCTTTTGGTACTAGCCAGAAGAAGTCTGGAAAGATGAAGTCCTAATGCTGTCTTGGAATGCCTGCTAGCATTAGCAGAGGATGTGTGCATGTCTGAGGGCGGTTTTGCAAAGGCAATTTCTTCTAATTTTCTTTTTTTAATAATAAAATCACCTAAAAGCCACCATGTGAATAGAGATAGGATGGCATAATACTTTGCCTGGAAGTATCTTGCTTAACATTTCTCAGATGAGCAGTCTCCCATAGCAAATCAAATTTAAAGCAAAACCTGTTTCTAGATGATGACAAACTGTTGCAAGCTTTCACTTATGTTCTGTTGTATGTTGATCTTCACGATGCTTTAAAATCTCTTTATGTGTGTCCTTTCTTCCGAGGATGTGTTTGTAGCCTTAACCCTTCTAAACCTCCTCTATTACCTACCCTTCACTGTTATTCAAATAAAAAAATTGGGGTGGTAACCCTATTTTTCAGCCATTGCTTTGCTACATGATACAGACTAACGCAGCTAGGCAGAAATGACCTGATTCTGCATGTCTTCCACGTGCGTAAGTCTCGTTGACGTCAGTGGGAGCGTTACGTGCAAAAGGACTGCAGGGCATAATTAAAAAGGACCCTTTTCTCAAAATGTGCAGGGAAAAAATTGTGGTTTCTGCTTGGGTACAATGAAAACTGTAAATTATTAGAAGCGTTCCTGTCTCCTAAGAACCTGACATACTACTTTGCTGTTGAGACATGCTTGGGTGAATGATGAGTAACTCGCTGAGAGAAGTTCCTGAGTTGGGTTAATGCTTTTTACCAAGTCTGATCATGAAACAGGTTTGACAGGCTGGAAGAAGCTCAGTGGTGTGATAGAACAAAAAGAAAGGATTTGCCTGATAGCAAGGCCCACACAGATCTTCTTTGAACACCAGATTTGTCAATGGCTTTTTCCACTTTTAATAATGAGCAAGCATTGTTGGAGGCCTTCTAGAAACCGGGAGCAGGTCCAGATCTGCTGGTGGTGGGCTGTGCCATCGGTGCAGGCAGTGGAGAATCAGCCTTGTTCCTGGCCGTGTCGCTCAGCCACTCTGCTAACAAGTGGAAATATATTTTACTGTGAACGTAACGTTCTGGGTGGAACTGGCAACAGCTACTGCTTCACCACCTGGACACGCGGGTCAGCTGCAAACAATTCCGTGCTTCTGCACGTACCTGTAGGCAGGGGTTGAAACAGGCAGAGGCAAGCATCCCTGTGTTTTTCCATGGCATTTGTTGCTTCTGCTAATCTTCTTGGTTTTAAATAGTCATCTACTATGTTTCTCTTAGCTGGTATTGAGGGTTTTTTCAATGCTTGTTGCCTGCAACTGCTCTTCATAGTATTCTGTCCAGGTGATCATCTCTCCCCTTCCTCCTCCTCCACCTCCTCCTCCTCCTGCTTTTTTTTAATCCCTGTGTGTCCAAGTCAGTCCTGCGGAAAAGCTCCCTTAGCATCCCTCCTCCTCTTGACTACCCCTTCTCCTGGTGCATTTACTAACTGCTTACCTAGTAAAGTTGTGGTTTCACCTACTCCTTCTACTGTGAATTAGCTGCTCTTCTCTTTCCTGTCTCCCTAAATTGACACAGTTGCAGGTGATTTGCAGCCAAAACTCCCTATTACTTATTGCATGCTTGATCTCCATCTGGGGCCCCTTTTTCACTCCACTTGTCTTTAATGACTCCCTTATCCACAGGCCCTGCCGCCTGGTGCACTTCAACCTTTACCAAAGAGGCCAGCACTTGAAAAAAACAATGGTGCCACCACAGTCTTTAACCCAAGCGTTTTCCACTACCAACAGGCTCTAGCCAACATGCAGTTGCAACAGCCTACATTCATCCCTACAGGTAAGTGTCTCCTTGCTTTCCCCAGCATCCCAGTTGTCTTTTTTTATGACCTGGGCGTTGACCATATGAGTAGATTTGTAAGGGTCCTTAGCAAAAGGGTATCAGTGTGCAGTTTCATGTTAAAAAGGGATGAAAAGTTAACATTTGTTGTTTGACTTTGTTTTCCTTCACAATTCAGAGCTTTTCACTTGTAAAGATCCTTTCTTGACCTTTTTTGTTTGGTTTCGGGGTTGTTTTTTTTTTTAAGAGGTCAAACTAAGAAAAATGTCTGCATGTTTCTTGAATTCATACCTTCTGTTTCTCCTTCCTTATGGTTCAACTGGTTAATGCCAAATTAATTCTTTGACTCTTGCACAGCACTCTTATGGACTCATGTTAAAATGTCTTTATGCCTGCTCACTTGAAGCTGCAGGTTCTGAGCTTCTTCTGAGCTTCTGTCTCAGCGACCTACATATTCCAGCAGCCATGTTTATAGAGGGAACGATTCGTCTTTAGTAAATAAAAATTACATAATCCTCTTTAAAGGCATATATTTCCCTCTTGCTTGTCTTTTGACCGGTACAATAGCCTAAGCTTTTTAAAAGCAATTTAACTCCCAGCCTTTATTATACCTTTACGGTCTCAGAATAAAATTGAAAGATGCAGTTCGTTAATTCGTATAGGACTCGAAAATATTGGCAGATGTGACAGCTGACTAGCCAATTAACCTCTATTCACTGCAGCCAAGTGAAAACCAAAACCTGCTTAGAGCAGTAAGTATTCTAAGTGGATGAATTAGAAATATTACAGAGTTGATAGCTTGGGTTTTAGTATCATTATTATCATTGCAAAGCATCATAAAGAATCGAACGCCCAATGTTTAATGTTTCGTGCTGTATTCACTTGCAAGATGATATTTTAAAAAATATACAGTGTTTCTCTGGGTCAGCCCCTTGGAGGTGAACACATAGTAGAGCTGCACCTCAGCCCTGCCACTCCTGGGGCCAGGGGAAAAGCTTCAGAGAGAGTCCTAGACTGAGGCCAAACTGTGTCTCAGGTGTGATCGCAGTTCCAGAGGGCTGAGACCTAAACCTCCTAAAGCTGCTCCTGCAGCTTTCCTGGTCTGAGAGCACTTGGAGACACTCAGAACTCATCAGCTGCCAAGATACTCTTCCAGGGAAGTGGAGTCTTGTACGGAGAGACAGAGGGAGGGACTCGGATAGGAGGCTCCTGCCATGTGCCAAGTGCTCTTGGAGGGAGTGGGCTGAGCTGACCTTACCTCACTCTGTTAGCTGCCAAGCGACATCCTTCTTCAGGAAACACTGACACCTTTGAGGATGCCAAGGCCCCAAGCTGGCTACACGCTCCTCTTTCTCGAGGTCGCGGTCGCCAAAGTTGACGTAAGGACATGCATTTCTGATGCGAGCACCGTAAATCAGCTTTTACCCAGCACTCTCCCTGCGCTCTTGTGCCCTGTCTCATGGCAATGAAATTATGCGCAGGGCTGACTGGTAACAGGTCTGTTTGCTGGCACCTGCTCTCGTCTGAGGGCATTAATGCTGGGCAGAGCAGCAAATTTCCAGTCAGAGGACGGGTCTCTGATGAATTTGCTATACGCATTTTCCCTTATGCATCAGGCTGCAGATCTGGTCTCAGCCTTTGCAGCGCTCTGCAAGGCGAAGCAGAGAAGCGGCACGTAGCAGCTCACACCGTGGGGAGGTGAAGCGAGCTGTTGCTTTTCATAGTTTTTCCTGTTCAGTTATTGAGAGATCAGCATCGTGGGTTGCCATGGGGCGGGGAAGGTCAGTGTGTCTGTTGAAAATGGCATCATCACTAAATTGCTTCAAGCCCAGAAAAAAACTGCCTCTTTCAGCTTAAACTAGAGACTTTGAATCCCAGTCCCTGCTTGCAGGAGTAAATTGCTTTTGGAAAGTCAGTTTTAACATGAGTGTGACGTTCTTCTAAGGGCAATTTGTTTTCTGCTGACATGATCAGAAAGAAATCAACATACCCTTTACCAAAAAAAACCTCCAAACAACCCTGATTTCTAGGATAGATCATATAATTTCATACCAGGGTGAGAGAAGAAATACATTCTCTACTACCCAAGAATTCAAGAATTAATTTGGTTTGCTGTGATCTCTTAAAACTGAGTTTAAACTACTTATGTACCAATATGCAGAATCTGTTTGCATGTGCTTAAATACTGAATGCTGCAAAGAGAATACCTGCTTTTTAGTTAAAGTGATTCTAACACTGAAGCTTCACTAATGAAATATCCCTTCTGTTCATCTTTCCACGCTTCAATGCATGGTGTGCAGGGTCAGTTCTGTGCATGACACCCACTGCAAGCGTTGGTAGGTTTTTCTACACAAACTTCTCACCTTTTCCTAATCTGAAAGAGACAGCAGTTAGTATGCATCAGTGAGAACCTGGGTGGCTGAGTGGTGTGACTGTCTATCCGCTGTCTTCTTTGAGGCTTAAATGGTTGTATCCCTTTTAATTTCTGTGCAGTGTTTTGTGTGACTAATAAGAGAATCCAAGGTGATGTGTTCCCACCCCTATTTAGTTCCGCTGCAGAGACAAAAATTCATCACTTAAATGTCTTCACAACCCATTTAAGTCATCCAACAAAAGGAAATAGCAGTGGTAGAATCCTGTTGGGTTTTTTTGTTGGTGGGGTTTTTTTTGTTTGGTTGTTTTTTGGGGATGGTTTATTTGTTTGTTTTTTAATCAGGCATCAGGTGGATTAGAGTTTGGATTTTTGGTTTTCCTTCAGAGGACACTTTAGGTGATTGTTTTAATAAGGACACTAAGGAGGGACACATCTGGGGTCAGCCGTTCTGCCAGAGCAGGGCACTGCTTGTAGAGGGAGAGAAGTGGGGCTTAAGCCGCGGGCTGGCTGAAGATGCATCTCTGTAGTGGAGCGTCAGATGTGAGGGACAAGGATCCGTAGGGAAATAGCGCTGCCGGTGGACCTCGGACAGGGTGAAGTGAGAGGGCTGAGTACATGCTGCTGCGGGGAGCCAGAACATTCAGCTCAGAATCTGAGTCTTACTGGGAGCCTGTGCAGGTCTTTGGGCACAGCAGGCTGGGTGAAAGCTGAGCTTTCATCCTCCAACCAAGGTTATACCAGGCTACCAGCATCCAGGTGTGTGCCTGCTTCAGCCAGAGGGAGAGAGGTGAGAGCAGGAGCTCTGGGGAGGGTGCAAGGCTTTTGTGGAGCAGGCCGGAAAGCTTTGGCAGGAATGGCTAAGCACTCTGCTCTCGAACCTCCCCATCCCTGTAGCGCAGGGAGGACACACCGCTTTGCATGACGGGGAGCTGAGCCCTTCAAACACACCTCTGCCTGTAGGAAACCCCAACCCACATGTTCCAACGTCCTGTGCATCCCACGGGCACGCGTGCTCCCCACCGGGGCCAGACGCAGCTGCTGGGGTGGAGGGGAAGGCAAGTCTGCTTCCCTGCCGCACGTTTGTGGGGACGGCTGGGCCTTCCCATGGGCTCCTGGCCCCACAAACCCCTCCTGAGTTTGGGGGATGCCCATGCGCACCCCAGATGACCTCCTCCAGTACCGTGAACTGCGGGATGCGCAGCTTCAGGAGGCTGCCGAGCTCCATGTTGCCGTGTTGTCCTTTCGGATGCTCTTTCTTCAAATTGTAACTGTTCAGGTGCATTTGTGTATTTTTCCCTCTCTGCCCCCTCCCCTCTCCATCCCCCCCTACCCTGCAAAAGGAAGAGTTTTGCCAAATCCTCTAGAATTAGAGTGGAAAGGAAGCACACTGACTTTGTACCTAGAGAGCTTGGGCTGCCAGCCGCTAGTTCGCAGTGCCTGCAGCTCCGGCCCGTGCCGAAACATCATCCCTGCTAGAGAGAGGCAAGAAAACCTGGTGAAAGGGCTACAGCGGCTACTGCAAAGTGCATCATGTACCTCTGGTTGCTGGCGGGGATGGGGTGGGGAGGGAAGGGGACAAGCTTTCCCAGGCGGGTGGGAGGGTGCGCTTGCCAAAATGTCCCCACCCAAAGGAACGTGCACTGGCTGTGTCTAACTCCCCACGGGTGCGAGCTGACGTGGGCTTTTGCTAGCACACCCGCCCTCTCCCCCCTTTGGAAATTTGGCCCTCGGAGTCTAATACATCATTGTTCTGCTTATAAATGTACTAAGTGTTGAGAATGTTTTGGTTTTTTCCTTAATTATAATTGTAATTGGCTTTTCCCCTTCTCTCTTGTTTATTTTTTTTCCCAACGCTGTCTTGCTTTGCACTGTGATTGCATGCTGCGCCCCGATGTGTCCTTCATGACGATGTC